TGGTCTTCCAGATTCCATAAACAGCTTCGTCACCTGCTTCTTTCATAGATTCTCCGGCTTGTAGCTTCAGCTTTTCGACCTCAGTTGCTCCTATGTTATATCTTTGCTCTCTTTGATAGTATTCCACCGTTTTGATAGTCTTCTCCTCCTGTGAAGCTCTCGTAGCCATGGCTGATCGATCCACAACTCTCGTGAATTTCGTACTTTCAGCCGTACCTGTCTTGGCATCCATTCTGAACTCTTCGCTTAGCTCCAATACTTCTTGCTTTGACGCAGGTAGAGTCTTGTCTCCTACCAGCAGTCGACCCAGGGTAATTGTCGACTCAGCTGTGGCCTGCTGCTCTTCTTTCGGTTGTAGATACCCGTATGAGCCAAGGGTACCCGTGACTTCAGACCCGAATTCGTGTGCTGTTGAGGTGGTAGTGGTTCTGGATACGTCTGGAATGTTTGCGAATTCGTTGGCTACGTTGATTTGTTTGTTTTCTAGGTGGAATTGCTCGGTTTCGCTCTCAACATGGAATTGTTTGCTGTCACTTTGCTTTTCTACGGATTTAACTTGCATTTCGACGCTTTGCTGTTGGACTCTTGACAAGTTTTGCTCAGCTTCTATTGTTGTCTCTTTGCTCGCCTGCATTGTACTTTGCATTTGATCGCGTTCTTTTGCTTTTGCACCTAAGGTAATCTCACTAGATGCGCTTTTCTCCACTGTTTGCCAACTGCTAAGCGCATTTTCCTCCAAAATTTCTTTAGCCTTCACAGCATCCTCCACAATGATACGATCCTTTGCCGTGAAGTCTAAAGCTACATTTTGTTCGGGAATATTGATTGCGAGATCAGTGGCGATTTCACTAGCAGTGCTTGCTTGACCAATTAGGGAAGTGGTTACGGTAACTGGAATTTGTCTACTGGTTGTTATATCTACAATGTCGTCTTTTGACTGTACAAGATCCATTCTGACTTCAGCATTCTCTTCTGTAGCGGCTGCAGTTGTAGTCTGTACAGCTAGCTTTCTGCTACTTTCTATGGATTTACTAGTCTCCTCATGCTTATCCAATTCAACTTCGAGTACTCCACTGGTAAGGGATATCTCAGCCTGTTCTCGTCCTTGTTCCCTTACAGTTTCCCAAGCCTTTGAGCGCTGGTATTCTGAAAGT